GTATTTCGGTTTGTCTTCAAATTCAGATTGTTGAATATACTTTCCAGCTTTTTGAAAATTCTGCAAGTTTTCATACTGTATTTATTGTATCATTCGAAAAAATTCTATACTTGGTTCTGACTACTAAGGATCCTGGCCTATACAAAAAATGTACGTGCTTATGGGATAATGCTGCACTTTGGTTACAGTGGTGGTGTGTCGGCCAAATCATGCAGGGCATAATGCTGATAGAAAAGTTATTCAGGCATCAAATGTCCGAAAATCTTTTCAAGCCAGAATAATGAAAATACCTTCTCTTTGGGTCGAAGGCGCAGCAGGAAAAGCCACAAGAGGTAGGTTCAATATTATTAAAATATTTGCAAGAGAACCTAACACCTCCACCAAATAATTAATTGATATTATGGCCCGACAGTTGCCAAAGACACAATTTCAAAATTGTAATTCGTTTAAAATCTGCGCTTGAGCTTATACATTCTATAAAAAAATAACGATGCACTTTTGTTCATCGAAATTTTCAAGAAATAGACATAAGTAAACGAGTTAGAAGAAATGCAACCAGAACTACAAAATTGTTATATTCCTCTAAACTGCAAATATGGTGGTCTAATGGAAAACCTGTTTCTATCCCAAAACTCAATGACATGGCATTATTTGAGTTTATTCCATTGGATGCTAAAAAATTCTATGAAACTATCGTAGGAAATAAAAGCATTCAAGATGACATTGGCGGCTTTAATGAATGAGTGGATTTCGATATCGAAGACTTATCTTAGTGGATTGTTTTTGTGTATTTTCTAAGTAAACGATGCAAGTTTTTATACGTATTATAGCTAAAAATTTAATGCAACATTATTATAATAACTGAAGAACAGTTGTCTAGAACCCATTCAGACAAGATCTGAGGGACAGAAACAACCTCTATTGGGAATCTTACATTGCCATGTAGTATCTTTTAAATACTGTAACACCATAACGTATTTTTAACAGTAATGTAAATAAAAAAAATTGTTACAATAATGTAAAACCCTATTGGAGGGTTTTTACCCAGATATTTAGTCACTTTGACTCATGTATACCTGGTAATATTACACTGATGATAGTCTCTTTAGTAAGAAAACTGGATAAGAAACTTGGATCTTAACTCATACATTTCTTAAAAAATCGTTAACGAATTAAGCGCCATTTGATCGAAAATAACTTTTAAAATATAAATTATTTTTAAAAAATTTAAAAGACATTTAAGAGTTTTTTTATATTTGCATTACTCTATCAAAAAATACACGTCAGTATGATATTTTAGAAATAGCACCAAAAACAAATTTAAAAACTTTAAACCCATTTTTCTCAATACTACACTGCCCTGTTAAGAATAGAAGTCGTATCTGCAATTTTGAGTTTTTTTAGGTTATAACGTCAACACATTGATAGCCAAATAATCTACCTATATGTTAAGAATGAAAGTCTTATCTGCTGTTTAAAAATAAGTTATTCCACTTTAAAATTTTGTCGGATCTGCATTTTTATAGTATATGTTAAGCCAATTTGTCGAATCTCCATTTGTTAACATTTTTAGTCGTATCTTCACAAGACGATTTGTAGTTACGACAAATTTGCTTAACAATTGTGTAGTTTCGACAAAATATTCTAACAACACAGGAAGATCTAACCTAAACATTCATAGTGTTCCCGCCTTTTTAGTTTTTTAACCTAAAAATTAAACGGTTGTAAGCGTTATTCGGCGTATCTGATTTTCAGTTATTTACTAGTATTAATCTCAGTGTTATAGTGTTTTTAAGTTTGTTTAGATTAAAGTTTATTAACTGAACCAGTAAGAATGGACAGAAATAGCAGAGCATTTAAAATGCATTGGTTCGCGACGACGTGTCGAAAAGAAACCTAAACTTCAGCATGATAATGACCCTGATTTTATTTTGTCAGATTCAGAGACGGAAGAAATTGAGGAACCGAAATTAAACAGAAAAGGTTTAAATAAAGTGAAGATTATTAGTGATATAACTTTGAGAGCTGCAAATGTTGTTCCTGAAGAATCTGATTTCAAAGGTGAAGAAGAAGGTAAGGAAGACTGTCTCCCTTTTATTCAAGAAATCTTGGTAGATATATGTGTCTGTTGAAAGGACGGAAAAAGACAATTTAACTAAAACAGGGGAAATCCGTAAACGAAAGAAATTTAAAGAGAGCCTAGATATGAAAAAAA